GCACGATAAGGAATAGGAAGAGCGATGGATATATGGTTCCATTACATTTGAACCCACGTACATTTGAACCCATGACAATTGCAACTGTATGCTATTGCACCTATGGAATTTTTTTTGTTTCACGGATAGTTAAACCCATACTAACCCTAACCCATGGGTTTTAGCACCCGCATATAGATTGAACCCGTGGATATACGCATGGGTTCAAATGTACATGGGTTCATCAATGTACGGTCAACCGGATATATATTATGGTACCCATCGCATTTGAATCGCGTGCTGCGAGAACATGTACTGGTCTTCCATATAGACAGCATGTTTGATTTTGGGGTAGCTACACAAGGCAGTGTTTATGTGAAGACTCATTCTTTAAATATCTTACACAAAGATAATGTCTTGCACTCAATCACATCTCATTGGGGGCTCATGGATGGCTGTTTAAAAGTTATCGCACGCAGAAAAATAAAAAGTGACATGAGAAAACAACTTTTTTTTAACGTCAAGTCATTTGGGAAATATGGTAAGCATAAGTTTGCAATTTTTTTTGAGTACGCCTTGTCTGTCTGTTTCACTCCCACGGCAGCGGCGAAAAAACGCATCGATCATAGTTTAATTTAGTAGAAAGTTTAACCATGAAAATGGCATACAAATAAGAGCTCAATAATTTGCCTTTGTCGTACGGCGAAGCCTTTCTTGAACTGGCCAATAAATATATATAAATAACATTTCCAAAGTTATCTATTGTACTTATATGAAGCGTATCATGCTAATGTAGTTTATGTAGTGATATACATTAGTAAAAAAGATGTACAGTTATAGGGCTATAAATCGGCACATTTTTTTTTAAATGAAGGAACCGATTGTAGATGACTTCGATTCGAAAGAGAATAATATGTTCTTAAAATTTTGATTGCCATCAGTGCTAAAAATTAAACTGGTTGAAAGACATAGTCAAACCAGACTCAATTTTATTTAAAATATGTTTTAAAAACGTTTGTTAAATAACGCGACTCGTAACTTCGTAAGGCGACTCGTTCGAAAGAGTATTTCCTTCCGCGTAGGGTAACGTTCTCGGAATTTGATTCTAAAGGAAAGTTTTAAAAGAAAATAGAGGCTTATGGTAAGTAAATAAATGATCGACAGACTTTTCGCTGCTACAATGAGAACGAAATACCAATCCGGATTTTGTGTAAAACGCACAATACTTGGGTGACAGGATGAGCCACGTGAAAAATTTCATCCAGCTCGGCCAAGTCCTTTATCTAATCACAACATCAGTATCAAAAATTTCTAAATTGCCCAACTCGGATAAGAGTACTGTAGTCTGGTACCTGGTCCTACAGTATAATAACCACTGGGTACCTGCAGAGACGCAATCTGTAGCATGGCTGCTTATGTTAAAGCATGAAGACGACTATTTCTCCATATCGAATCAGAATGAAAAATATCTCGGACGACCAAACAAGACGTACTGACCATGAATAGAAAAGCAATGCAAAATTATGCTTCGGTAATCACATTACCCGTAAGACCCAATGTAAAAAAATGTTTCCTTAATGTGTATGAGATTGCGAAGGCCTACTAACTATCTTGATACAGTATCACTATGAATGAACCCGCGTAAACAAAAAAGTCAACAAACAGTGTAACGGCGTCATTGATACGATAGAACCAATTGTTGGTTATCGAACTCACTATCATCAGGTTCCGTCATTTTAGAAAATGTATGAATGTCACTACATAAGATGCATCAACATGACACGTTTCAGATAAATCTGATACATAACCTTTTGAAACATCAAATAGGACGCTAGATACCAGCCTCTTTGCACGCAACCCTTTTTCCAACGTCTAAATCGAAAAACAATAACGGGTTTAATGATCATCACGATATTCCAAGAACGGGTTCTCGCGAATCCATATGTGTGGCCCATTTTAAAATTATACTTGCTTCAGTTTTATTCAGTACCACACGATAGTAACCATATAAGCTGCACATGGCTGTATTCACATCTCCTTGACGCGCCACGCACCGTCTACTAAACAAAGCCCGTGTTGTTGTTGCACCACCTCGCGTATCCTTTTTAGTGGGTAGTTCGCAAGAGTCATTCCAAGTTAGTGAATATTGAGCGATCAGGTATCCGAACTCGTGTCTTACCATCCTAGTTCTTGAACTGAGATTACAGCAAAACCATTTAAACTCATTTTATGGACCCCATTATTGCAATTCCCGGGCTAGTGGTTCACACTGTACGAAATAGAGAGTAGTAGTAGTAAAATCTGTATTTTATTATGACGTCATAAAATAGGTTCGATGTGAAGATTCGGATTCGAAAATATTCTAAACTTGTTCTAATGTGATCCGAGCTCGTTATCTTCCTGTTCCGTCGATACCCCGGTAGGTTTAATTATTAGGTTTGTGACGTCATAATTTCCAAATTTTATTCGCAAATTCATTTCAAATTGACTTTAGTCAAAATGGGTTATGATACGGTAACGTTTAATTTCCCGTTCGACAATATGCTGTATAAAACGGCATTAAATGAGGCGAAATAAAGTCGGGATCGCCGATTCCGATAGTTTATTTAACCAATCAACCAAACGAATTTCTTGTGGACGGAAGAAAAGAAGCAGGGAGAATAAAAAACGGGTGAGAAGAAATGTTGTTAAAAATATTTTAGACACTTGAAAAAAAATTAGTTATCATATCGAAGGGTTAGGCGCGATACACTTTCAGTGGAATTCTCTGCTGGTTTGTACGTTAACCAATGCTGTTCAAGCACTGGCCTACCGCGCATTATATATAAGAAGGGTTAGGGTACCACGTCTTGTGCAGCTGACTTAAATATCAAACCCACTGTTCACTCTCGTGACAATGCTATGGGCTTGGCGTTTAGCGCGCTTGAACGTAGGACCTGATTATTTGTACACAATATAATAAAGCATATATGGGCTTCTACAATTCACATTCTTGTCAGATAGGGTGTTTGGGAGATGCTCTGGATGGATATATTGTACATATATCAAAATACCATGGCCTTGTAAGAATCGCTGACGCATTGGACATATCCATCTGAGCTATCGGCCCGTGAACCCCCTCTTTTTTTTGGAAATATTGGGATGGGTCGACATGACCTGGTTATTACGTAACAAGGTTGACGTCGTAGATATGGCTCCCAGGTTCGAATCCCATACTAATTTTTCTGCGTGGGATTGGATTTAAATGATCAATGTTTACGAATTTTATTTAACCTTTGAACGCGGAAGTCTATTGACGCGGAAGACCATTCCGCGCGCCTCGGTTCGCGCGTGACTGACGTTTCTGTATTAAGATGCGATTTAGGCTAGTATTTATCCCTGGGAAGAATGAAGCCTGTAAGACGGCTGACCATATTACCTATCACGGCTTCTCGTTGGTTTTCCAGTCCATGTCGTGTATGAGATTAGTCACTGTGATATTAGCCAACTATTTTCTTCATCTTTCATGGACTTGATCGTTGATGATAGAAAAAGTAGTAGGCTACCGGTACCTGTACCGTAACCGACTAAACAACCCGCAGCTACGGTAGCGGTACGCAAACCCACTCTACGTTGGCGCGGAGACCAGCCTTCATTTTGTACGTATACCCTACCGGTGGGCTATATTCGTGACAGGAACTGATTAGCCACCAGCCACGCAAAGTTACCGGTAGGCCTATATTGGCGCGGCGGCTTCGCTCGTCATGCTAAGCGTTAGGAATACGCTTGCCATCGCACCTCTGATTACTCTGCCTGGGTTCGCAGGTTCGAATCCCATGCGGTGATGGTTTTGTGTGAGAGTATTGCTGGACTCCTCGCTGCCGTAGGGGGGTTCACCTAATCCAGTAATCGCTGGTCGGTTACGGCTTTCTCTACCATCAAATCCATGCTTCCAGAAACAACTAACTAACTAATCCCGTACCCGACATGGAATGGTAACCGGACATGAGGCCGTGGTTCGCCATATAGTTAAGCCGTCATATCAACTTTCCTCTCCCACATGAAAAATATGTAAATTCTATCTTATAAGAGATGATATGGAAAGGGTTGACGCCTTGTTTAAAGTGTTAAAAATATAGTTGTCATCGCATTTGTACGGTACCGGTATTGCCCTTACTTGATTTGCAGGGTTCGAATGCTACAGGGAATAGTCTAGTTATATAAGAGAATTGTCGCCAAAGCCGGCGGACTCTTGCCGAATGGATAGCTTTGCTTTAGTAGACTACCTTACCGGTTTCTACGATATTTGATTTGTTTTTTGCAATTTGTATTTGCAATGAGTGAATAGAGTTCAACGATTGAGTGTTTCTCTTCATATATTGGCTACACTCGTAAGCATATATTTTTTCTTTGACTCACAATCACCCTAATTTGCTGACCATAAAGAGACACAAACTGACCTATTTCATTGACCCTAATTGGAATCACAATGGCCGAATTATAGGGACTATATTTTAGTGTTATATCCCTCATAATAAAAATGGGCTTGCCTTTTACACCCGATGGATAAGAGGTGTTAATTTAGGTATTTTAGGTGAAATTTGTGTTACAATTTAAGCACATAAGGTTTCATACCTAACTTTCTGTTAAATATAGCAGGGGTGGCCAACCTGCTTTCGATCATGGTCGATTAAAATCTTCAAAATAGCTCGCGATCGACTTGTCGGTAAAAAGGTTATACACAAAAAAGAATGAGTATTGAATATGCAGATAACTGCACACACGCATACAAAAAATTCCATCGCTGCCAATAAGCTCGGCTCTGTGGGTGCATTCTCAATGAAATTACCACAAACATTTTTATTTTTTTTGTCCCATTTGATTTGTTAATTCGATTATGTAATTGAACTCGAAGGAAACATTTCATCATTTAATAATATATATTTAAATCTTACAATTCAGATCTGAAGTCTGCCTAATTTTTAGTCGTAAGTGGTGTAAATTTGTAGAAATTCGTAAAATCTTATATCAGATATCCATGTATTATCTGAACAGCGAAAAATCAATATTCTCAAACTATAAATGTTACATGACTGCTCAAACATCAGTATCTAATTTACAATTTCCTTCAAGTTCGACTACTCTTGGAGTAAGACAATAACTTTCGCATACTGCAGAAGTTCGATATTCGGCATGTTAATTTCTAAGCTTCGGCAGCGGCAAACTTGCATTTGTTATGAAATAATATGCTCTATCGGGCTTGCCCAGACTCAAATACTGTATATGTACATCGTATTTTGCACATGTGCAGTACTGTATTCTTCTTGTTTTTCAAAATACACAACAGGCGGTGCATAAAACTGGTTCAAGGCATTTCATGGGTGTGTGTTATTAAATTCACTCAACATCAAATGCGATCAACTACTCTAGACGTGGCTATCGAACGGTCGATTGCAATCGAGTATAATACCACAAGTGCTTCTAGTGGTCTCAACAGTTTTTCAGATGTTCATTCCTGATATTTCTAAATCCTGATCATTCCAAACCCCCCATACAAAAATTATGTCACTGCCACATGCCCACATCACAACAACGTAATAATATTCGCCAAATGTAAGGCTGGTTATTCAAAATGTGCATATGATCACCCAAATTAAGTAAGCTATGTCGTATACAAAATCTTATTTTCTCTTGTTTCAATGATCCCTATAATATACTAGACCCCAAAGAATGCATATCATAAAGTTGTAAACAATTTACAGGAGTTAGAGAGGAAGAACATCGCTAACTCTCAGAGGTCTGCGGCCTCTGAGAGGTTTGCAACCTCTGAAAACTTCTCGCCATTCCGCTGCTTTCTGGCAGGTCTAACATGGATCTTGACAATTCTTCGCTTCACCAGGAAAAACAGAGTAAGATATTAAATTGATTTAATAATTGATAGTATTAACTTGACCAAATACATATCTAATTGCAACCTATCAAACAAAAACTAAACTATGGATTTTGATGCTAAATTGCCAATTCTAGCAACTAAATTCTTGCTCATATGTGCTAAAATATCCCTTTTGATTTTTATGTTGCATGCTGAATTTATTTTAGGTTTCGACAGAATTTGGTACAAATCCGAAATCTGTTCCGAAGCTAATCAAAGTAAAACCAGCAGCAGCGAATAAACCAATTCCTTCTGTTGGGAATACATCTTCACATGATGATGTCTCGCAGGTAAATATTTTCTCTTGTAGTTTATTTTAGTATGATGCATAACTTTCAACTCAATTCATCTGTTCTATGGAACCTTTCTACATCAGCGCAAGTCATATTTTACTGTGTTAGACAAGGTGCAATGAAACATTGGTCTAAATATGTTGGCAATGTGATCCCAGTAACGCTGTACCTCTACTAAATGGACAAACGTAGAAAAACGACAAAGTTATTTAGAATCTGGTAGCTCTACATATTTTGTCACATTATGAAATCAACTGCTATTTTTTATCAATCAAAACTAGCTTCATGTCTGGCAAATTGTTGTTAACTTAACTTGTAATTTCTTGCAGGCAACACCCAGAACATACAGAAATGGCTGTGAGCGGAGGAAACAGAATTCCATTCCTAAATTGGATTCTGGAAATTCACAACCTTCTTCATTGAGCCGATGTTCCACACCGCAAGACAAACCAGAAAGAGCTCTGAATCGAACACCAGATGTATGTCGTCTTAACAATAAGTGAAATTTAGAATTTTTTTTTTTTGAAATAGCCTAATTGTTTCGCTTTTGATTTAGTCGCCAGCAAAATCTGGGCAAGAAAATAACAAGGAGGTTAAGATCAATACTCCGTCATGTGATGATGTGAAATCCACTACTTCTGTGAGACCAAAATCTATGCAGAAGAAAAAAAAGCAGAGAGATGATTGCAGATCACCATATCTGGTACATCCTACCGAAATGGTCAGAATTTTGTTGGATTTATAGATTAGAGTTCAATTTTTACCAAAACAAACAATTCTTTATTCTTATTCAGATTCGAGCAAAACCTCAGACAGTTCGCACTGCTCTGAAAGAAAAGATCTCGAATAAAGTGGTTGAATCTCCATCTCCACGTTCTGCTCCTGTCTCCACCATTAAAAATAATGGTCAAAGTGAGACAACAAATAAATCAGAAGATAGCAAACAATTATCTTCTGAGGTATGTTTTCGTAGTATTATCTATAAAGCAGTGATAAAAACAACATGGTGACAAACTAACAATAGAAACTTATTTGGCTACTCTGAAGTATGTGAACCAAGATGGTGGAGACCGGAACGTAGTATGTGTAGCAGGTTAGGGTTAGACCATGATATCAGATACAAATACTAGGAGAGTCACTTGGCTGGTCCCCGAACTCGTAATATAACTAAAATAGGAAAAATTGTAATAAAATTATGGCCTAACCCTATCCTGGTACAAATACTATGTTCCGGTGTCCGCCATCTTGGCTCACATACTTCAGGTACCTTTATTTGTTATCACCAGATTGTCAGCATGTCCAGGAAATGCCAGGTATAAAATTTAGGACCCATTTGTTTCAGAATCCAGTCAATCCTGGAAACAATCCAGATGACTCACAAGGAAAAACATCAAGCCCTGTGAATGATTCCCCAACTTCTGAGCCACTTTCACTGAACAGTGAACAAGATGAGCCAGTCAAGAAGGATGGGGATGACAAAGAGTTGACTGAGGAAGTAAGTTATAATATATACGCTGCTCAGGGTATTGTCACATGAGAAAATTTTCGCAACAATCTATCAATTTCACCATGAATTCTATTTCAAATGTTAACTCTAAATTACTTGCCCGAAAGTTTTATCTATCCAACTTAAATATACTGACAAGCGATTTACCTCTAATCACATAGCGTCATAAAAAACACAAAAGTCTGGCCTCAAAATGCTCTCACTCGGAGCGAAAAAAAAAAGTACAACAGTAAGGATATTATCAAAACAATTACTATTATCGTAACAATCTATCAATTTCACCATGAATTCTATTTCAAATGTTAACTCTAAATTACTTGCCCGAAAGTTTTATCTATCCAACTAAAATATACTGACAAGCGATTTACCTCTAATCACATAGCGTCATAAAAAACACAAAAGTCTGGCCTCAAAACGCTCTCACTCAAAGCGAAAAAAAAAGTACAACAGTAAGGATATTATCAAAAAATAATCTTATTTATAGCAACATTGCATGATAGGCACAAATCGCTCAGACGACTGACAACTAACTTGTTTTGTTCAGACACCAGCCAGGCCTGAATCTCGTTTCTTCCATTACCAACCAAAGCTCTTGGGTCAAATTTCGACCTTCCGATTCAAGAGAAAAGATGGGACAGACGGACATGTAGGATGTGGCGATCCTGCAACTCAATGGGTAATCTATTATATATAGGACTGCGATTGCTGTTTTTTTCCCAAATTTCATAACATTTCAATTTTTGTGTTTACATTGTTATTCAATTTCCATCCAAAGGTCTTTGGTCCAAAAAAGCCATCTCCACCTTCGGTTTTCCTGTCTATCAATTTCAAAGACCTGGGTACAGTGAAAAGAGATGGTGGACAGTCATCCATATGGGTAAGTGTTTATATTACATATGTTTTTTTTCTGAATATTCCTAGTATTTCCAATTTTGTTCCAAACATATTTTGTTCAATTTTGCCTCTAGCACGACTGTTAACGTTGTATACATTAGGTAATTAGGCCTTTATTGTGTTGCCTTTTTGCCGAATATATCACATGGCAAAAATAGATCTTCAAAATTGCGGAATTGAACGAGATTCACTTATTGTAACATTATTGTAACATTGGTTGCGGTATCCTATTATTAATATGATGAAAGATTTTATATTGTTTCAAAAATTAAGACATGACATATGTCTGTGTAGAGTCTACCAGTGTTGAACAGTAGTCGCTAATCCCACAAGTCAATTCCAGTTGTGAGTTATCCGAGCGTGAGTCCTATATCAAGGTCGAGCCAATCACTGAGTCATGTCTCTCTGGCGGTGAATTGATTACGATTCTGATTCAGTTTTTCTGGGGTGACTTGAGTAACTTCAAGATTTTTATAATCGGTGTTTTGAGTAGAGCACATGCTTCTCCATTACATATCGACTGGTTTTTCAGTTTGGTGATTCAGTTTTCGTTGAGTTCTTTACTGTCCAATATTAAAAATATCTTACTAATCGTTGAAAACCGAAATTTCATTATTTATCTTCATATCACAGTCGCAATTTGGAACCACAGAAACCACACCACGTCTTGTCAAAGACTATACTCCTGAAGTGACAAAATCATCTCAGTCGAAGAAAAATTTGGCAGATGCATTCAGATTTCCTTTTCGGGTAAAGTTTTTAAGTTTACTCTTACTATGTATAAATAATCCATTCAAATAATTCACATTCACTTTATATATTGTATACACAAAATATTGGGCGCTCACGAAGTATGTGAACCTAGATGGCACACACCGGAACGTAGTATGTGTACCAGGTTAGTGTTGGGCCATAATTTCAGGAACAAATACTACGGGAGTCACTTGGTTAGCTAGTCCCTGAACTTGTAATAGAACCAAAATAAGGAAAATTGGAATAAAATCATGGCCTAACCTGGTACACATACTACGTTCCGGCGTTTGCCATCTTGATTAACATACTACGGGAGTACCTAATATTGGACATCTCGTCACGAGCTCAATGTTATCAAAATTTAATTTCTCTATTCCACAATTTCATTCAGGTTCCATCAAGCCCCGAAGCTCGTTCTTCTTACTTCCAGAGGAAAATCTTCGGATCTGCAATTGAAAACCCTCCCCCTCCAACACCATCAGTTTCTTTCAGTTTTGGACAAGCTTTTGAGGTAAGTTTTCGGCGCTACCGAAGTATGTGCACCAAAATGACGCACAACCTGATAACCCTAACCTGGTACACCTACCATGTTCAGGTTGTGCGACATCTTGGTGTATACTTCGGGAACACCAAATTTTTATTATTAGCCTAATGATTTATTGACGCTCTATGAGAGCAAGATGTCCAGCAATTCACATGTTTCGGATAAGGTTTTCAAAAGAACAGAAAAAAATTTCAGTTTCATACAGCTTATCCACTTTATTCCATCTTGGATGATGTTGAATTGCCCTCATAGTCAACCACATTCTCAACTTCATACGAAGGCTCATACTTAATCTCCATGTTTTAAACAGACTCAACCAACACCCAGAGAAAGTCTCATCGATTGCCAAAGAAAGAACTTCGGTTATTGGAACGAAACACCACCACCGTCAGCTCGTTCGTTTTCTGACGACCAACAAGAGATTGGCTACAGAGAAGGAATAGACAGAACGGTACTAACCAAGGTAAAAGTCATTTTATATTCCTAATACTAACTCAAATTTACATTAAATCCTCAATTATACGAGTGGTTGATTATATTCCACTGAACACGTCTGATTACTTTAATGTCACGCAACCTTTGGGTATCTAATTTTTGACCCAAATTGCTATTGAATTTGCTACGAACTCCTCAACTATAAGGGTTGTTGATTGAGTCTGCATTGTACGCATTTGGCTACTTTAATGTCACACAACCTTCAGGTATCATATATTGATAGTGCTGGATAGTAATCCCAACTAATGCCAGTTGAAATCACATTCAGTAATCAGTTGACGATTTTTTCCAAGTTGTTACCAAACTTATCCTAAATAATACACAATTGTACTTTTCAGCCTGATCCTGGACTTGATTATGAGTTGACTAATTTCCAACAGTACGAGTCGGAATCGAACGTTTCATCTCCAGAGTGTCATGTTCGTTTCTTCAACGATGGCGTGGAAGTATTTCTTGAAGTGAGTAAGCTGACATAGGTTTGGAGTTCTTTTTGATGAAAGACAATTTATTCGTAATTGAGAATTTAGTAACGACTTTTTGTTAGCTACTACTGTAACATGTTCTGTGATTTTTTTAAATTTCAGAAAACTCCACCGAGATCTGGAAGAAGGCGACGAAATACTTCACCACCTGCAAGAGATTCTCCCAAAATCGAGGAAATTGGAGATGGCGAAAAAATTCCAACAAAAGTTTGTTTTTTTATTTAAAGCTTTTTATACAACTTTCACTCCAAACAAAAAGGTGCAAAGCAATTTAAAAATATCATCCCAGGTAAAATTAAAAGTAAATTTAACATGAAACAACATGTAACAATGTTTAGCTTGGCTGTTCTGAATTACAGTGCAATTTACTTTTTAATGATAGAAATTTGAACGTTTTAACTTGTGATTAGATTTCAGTAACCTATGCAAACCAAATCATCTGAAACAATCAACTGATTAATTATTTCCATACTCCCCATGGACCAGGCTTCGGACGAGACGTCGTGGTACATCATATGAATACGCCGTCTCATCGACTTTCCTCTCCCACAGATAAAATTGAAAATCATATCCTATAATTTACAAATTTTTTATATTCAGGCTGAATCAAGACCTGAAAGCAAATTGACTGATTTGCAGGAAAGCAGCTCGGAATCAGAGGTTGAGACTCATGTTCGTTTCTTCAACGATGGCGTGGAAGTATTTCTTGATGTGAGTTAGCTGACATAGGTTCGGATTCCTTATCGAATGACAATTTATCCAGAATTAAAAATTAGGTTACAACGTTTCGTAAGTTCCCACTGTATCACATTCTGTGATTTTTTTTAAATTTAGAAAACTCCACCAAGATCTAGGAGGAGGCGAAGAAAGACTTCAGCGTTCGCAAATGATTCTCAAACTTTTGGTTCTTCCAGAATGGCACAGTATGCAGCAGTCAAGGAAATTGGGGGAGTCGATAGAATACCATCGAAGGTTTTGTTTTTTATGTTGAACCTTTTAATTTGACATATTTGTCCTTTTTTGCTCTGAACAAGGCTACGTAAAAGATTTTGAGAAGACCGGAATTTTTAATGTCTGGCATTGCCTACTCAATATATTGCACCCTGGGTTAGGTGATGAGCATGGGATTTGAACCTGCGATGCCATCATAGTTAAGTCTGACATCTGTACCACTAGGCCACTGCACTGCCTTTTTTCAAAAATACATTGAGTGAGGTACTATTGTTAGTAGAATGCGTCTTCATCAACGATGCATCTTTTTTATCACTATATATAAATATCCAAATAATTAGGTTTCTTGAATTTTATAAAGTTTTATTTTTCTTGTATATTATTTAAATTTTTCTTATTTAGACTTATTCTGGACTCGAAAGCAAATTGACTGATTTGCAAGAAAAGAACTCAGAGTCTGATAGAGAATCTCCAATATCCGATTCTCATTTCTTTGATGAAAAATCAGAAGAATCCAAGAAAATTGATGATGTCAAGCAGTCTAGAGTAAGTTTTAACATTCATACATGAATGATCCTAATCACCGGTTTAAAACTGTAGTCATACGTGACGGATGGCATTAAATAAATGATTCAACTTTGAAGGAGAAGTAGTAAGGATGATATGGCATGGGTTCAAAACCCATTTTTATGCAAAATTGATATTTCTTATATTGCAACTTTTCTTAAGCATTGCAATATAATACATTCAATTTCTTTTTAGCAAACCATATTATTCTATTGTCTGCTTTTTCCAGAGTCAAGCAAAACCTGAAAACATCTTGGGTGATTTGCAAGAAAAGACTTCAGCGTCTGCAGATGATTCTCAAACTTTCGATTCTTCCAAAATGGAACAGGATGCGGCGGTCGAGGAAATTGGTGATGGTGATAAAATGCCATCAGAGGTTCGTGTTTTGCAAGCGATTGCAATTATCCGAATACTTGTTTTAATAAAACTTTCTCATTTGAAAATTTTGTTCATTTTCTGACTTAGTTACCATCAGAAGAGAAGACAACCGGTGATAACACCACAGACTCGGCCGAGTATAAACCGGAACATAGTGATTTGCAAGAAAAGACTTCAGTCACTGTGGCTAAACCTTCAACTTCCTCTCCCATCTCTCTGAACAGAGATCAACAGGAATCAAGCAAGGAGGTTGAAGATGTCAAATCATTGTCGTCTGAGGTAGGATTGGTATTTTATTGATAAGGATTTCTCAAAGCGAGGTTCTAAGCACTCAAGGTGATAAAGTCACTCAAATACGAAACTTGCTGTGTAAACTACTCAGTTTTAAATAAGCTGTCCCAAAGCCTTCTCTCTTCCTATAATTTACAAATTTTTCTTATTCAGGCTGAATCAAGACCTGAAAGCAAATTGACTGATTTGCAGGAAAGCAGCTCAGAATCAGAGGTTGAGACTCATGTTCGTTTCTTCAACGATGGCGTGGAAGTATTTCTTGATGTGAGTTAGCTGACATAGATTTGAATTCCATGTTGAATGACAATTTTTCTATAATTCAGCATTTAGTAACGACGTTTTGCAAGCTTTTCTTGTAACACGTTCTGTAATTTTTTTTAAATTTAGAAAACTCCACCAACATCTAGGAGGAGGAGAAGAAAGACTCCAGCATTCGCAAATGATTCTCAAACCGTCGGTTCTTCCAGAATGGCACAGTATGCAGCAGTCAAGGACATTGGAGATGTCGATAGAATACCATCAAAGGTTTGTTTTTTTATTTCAACCTTTTTTTATACAACACATTTATTATTTTTTGCTCTGAACAAGCCTCTGCATGATATGTAAGCAGCTACTTTATTTTGAGGTCCGAAGTTTTTCAGCAGAGCCTACCCAATTTGTTAAACCCTGGGTGAGGTGGCAGGCATATGATCTGAACCCAAGCGAGAGTGTTGAATCTCTCGCATCACATATTTCTGTCTCTATTGGTAGCTTCACAGGAGAACAAGCGCTTGATCTGAAATCGCCAGTTCAAATATCACAGGGTATTGATAGAAAAGTCATGGTGCAGAATTTTTCCTTTGGATATTTCTGTGAAGATTATATGTTACTGTTACATACTGAATTCAATGGATTATAACAAAACAGATATTCCATCATTTGCATTATTTCGCAGAACAGTTAGTTTCTGCCAAGTTGGTGAATTTACTTCACAGTGTTACCGAACTTGATCATAATATAAAACTTTTTTATGTTTAGACTGAATCTGGACTTGAAAGCAAATTGACTGATTTGCTAGAAAGGAACTCAGAGTCTGATAGAGAATCTTCAATATCTGATTCTCTTTTCTTTGATGAAAAACCAGAAGAATCCAAGAAAATTGATGATGTCAAGCAGTCTAGAGTAAGTTTTAACATTCATATATGAATGATCCTCAACACCGGTTGAAAACTAAAAACTTTAGTAGGTTAATTTAAAATGTAATCATACTTGATGGATGGCATGTAATGAACGATTCAACTTCAAAGCGAAGTAGTAAGGATGACATGGGCATGGGTTCAAACCCCATTTGTATGCATCTTATCCATGTTCGAAAGCAAATACATTTGCGAGAGCAAGCATTTTATCTGTTCCAAATAGTTCCGTTATGAAGATATTTCTTACACTAAATGTAGATAACTAAATAAAGATTCTCTTTGCACTTTTATGGCCCGCGAACAATGCAAAAATAACTTTGTGGCCCCGAAGTTGACAACCTTGGACCACCCTGCAATAAGCGATTCTACTTCAAGTAGAAGTAGTAAGGATGACATGATGGGTTCAAACCCCATTTTTATGCAAAATTGAAAATTCTGGATTTTTTCGCAAGCATCCAATGTGATACATTCGGTGATTTTTTTATCGAACAAAATATATTCTGTTGTTTGCTTTTTCCAGGGTCAAACAAAATCTGAAAACATCTTGGGTGATTTGCAAGAAAAGACTTCAGCGTCTGCAGATGATTCTCAAACTTTCGATTCTTTCAAAATGGAACAGGATGCGGCGGTTGAGAAAATTGGTGATGGTGTTAAAATGCCATCAGAGGTTCGTGTTTTGCAAGCGATTGCAACTATCCAAATACTTGTTTTTTTAATAAAACTTTCTCATTTGAAAATTTTGTTTATTTTCTAATTTAGTTACCATCAGAAGAGAAGACAACCAGTGATAACACCACAGACTCGGTCGAGTATAAACCGGAACATAGTGATTTGCAAGAAAAGACTTCAGTCACTGTGGCTAAACCTTCAACTTCCTCTTCCATCTCTCTGAACAGAGAACAACAGAAATCAAGCAAGGAGGTTGAAGATGTCAAATCATTGCCGTCTGAGGTAGGATTGGTATTTTATTGGTAAGGATTTCTCAAGCGAAGTTCTATACACTCAAGGTGATAAAGTCACTCAAATACGAAACTTGCTGTGTAAACTACTCAGTTTTAAATAAGCTGTCCCAAAGCCTCTTCTCTTCCTATAATTTACAAATTTTTTTTATTCAGGCTGAATCAAGACCTGAAAGCAAATTGACTGATTTGCAGGAAAGCAGCTCGGAATCAGAGGTTGAGACTCATGTTCGTTTCTTCAACGATGGCGTGGAAGTATTTCTTGAAGTGAGTAAGCTGACATAGGTTCGGATTCCTTATTTAAAGACAATTTAATCGTAATTGAAAATTTAGTAACAACGTTTTGCAAGCTTCTACTGTAACACGTTCTCTGATTGTTTTAAATTTAGGATACTCCCCCAAGATCTAGAAGGAGGAGAAGAAAAACTTCATCGTCTGCAAATGATTCTCAAACTTTTGATTCTTCCAGAATGGCACAGTATACAGCAGTCAAGGAAATTGGTGATGACGATAAAATACCATCAAAGGTTTGTTTTTAAACGACACATTTATCCTCGTTTCGCTCTGCAAATGGCTCTGCATGAGCAATCACTGATATGTAAGCGGTTACTTTATTTAGGGGGGGGGGGGGGGGCCGAAATCTTTCGGCATTGCCTACCCAATTTATTACTCTCTGAGTGAGGTGTTAGGCATAGGATTTGAACTCAAGCGATGGAGTTGAATCTCTCGCATCAAATATTTCTGTCACTAATGGTAACTTCACAGGAGAACAAGCGCTTGATCTGAAATCGCCAGTTCAAATATCACAGGTTATTGATAGAAAAGTCATGGTGCAGAATTTTTCCTTTGGATAGATTTGTTTCCTTACAGACATTTGTGAAGATTATAAGTTACTGTTACATACTGAATTCAATTGTGTATGATTATAACAAACAGATATTCCATCATGGGTACTCTCGAAGTATGTGAACCAAGATGGCGGACACCGGAACGTAATATGTGTACCAGGTTAGGGTTAGGAAATTGGCGATGACGATAAAATGCCATCAGAGGTTCGTTTTATTATGCAAGCGATTACAATTACGGTATCCAAATACTTGGAGGTTTTAATTTTTTTTCTCATTGTTTGAAACCTTTTTTTTTTGTTATTTAGTTACCATCAGAAGAGAAGACAACCAGTGATAACACCACAGACTCGGCCGAGTATAAACCGGAACATAGTAATTTGCAAGAAAAGACTTCAGTCACTGTGGCCAAACCTTCAACTTCTCCCATCTCTCTGAACAGAGAGAAACAAGAATCAAGCAAGGAGGTTGAAGATGTCAAATCATTGCAGTCTGAGGTAGGATTTGTATTTTACTGGATTACTCAAACGAGGCTCTAAGTACTCAAGGCGTTAAAGTCACTAAAATACAAAATTTGCTGCCTTAACTAATGAATTTTTGAACAAGAATTAGCAATAACGCTCCATATAATCATTTTTTTAGACTCTGATCCAACTCCAATGCAAATTAGATGATGTCGAGAAAAAAGTTTCAGTTTCTGAGACAAAATATCCATCCATTAATGCAATGCAGGATCAGGAAGTTGGAAATGATTCGGTAAGTTCATGCTATGATACGTGCATATTATGACTATACTGATATTGGCGCAAAATTTAATTTTAAGATTTATCATTTTCAGCCTTTCAATTTTTAATTTGGTCTAAAAGTGTAATGATAGTTAAGCCCGTCAAACGAGATGCATTCTGATCAAAATTTTAACAAACATATGCTCTGATTCATAGATTCATCATACGATTGAATTTGAAAAAGTTTTATTATTCCACTTTTTATATTTCAGTGTTCAATTACTCCTATTACAAATAATTTATATTTTTTCAGAAATTCATATTTCGTAACAAAAGACTAGCAAAATTGAAAGAACCCTTCAACCCGGATATAAGAAGACGTAAGTTTTATATGTAATGCTTATTTTGAGTTCATTATTACATGAATATCACTCATTATATTATGGTGCTAAAATTATTTATTTTCAAAGCGGACGATGCTCAAATGATTGACAGAAAAATGAAAAAAGTCCATCGAAAACATTTTTCTTCAAATCTATGTGGCATAGCAGAAGGAGAGGAACCATTGGAAGAAAATCATGGCGGTAATAACAATTTTTTTTAGAAATATTTGCCGAAGGGAAAGCTACATTAAATCGTGTCCGAAAAGTAGGCCGCAGGAAATTTTGCCACATAGGAAAAATCACAAGAGCATTTTGCTGTAAAACAAGTATTTGTGATTAAAAAAGTTATGTTTATAGGGTTAGGGTATGCTCTTAAATAACGAATCTTTTTTAAATAAGGCAATTTTTCATACAGCGATTTTTCCTATCTGGCAACATTTCCTATGGCGTGATTTCCTGTGGCGAATTTTCCTACAACCACATTAAATTACGCAGAAATGAAAAAACTCTTTCAATAATGTTCCCACCAAATAATGATTATCCATATTTTGATCTTATTTTTAACTAACACCAAATTTTCGTTTTATTAGATGGTTCAGGCACTCATGTTATAAACAGAGAGAAAGAACAGCGTTCTTTGCCCATTGAAGCCTTTCGTATGGAAGGCACAAATTTCTCTTCGAAGCTTCGTGATATAGTCGAGGTGGATGAGCTTGATGAAGGTAACTTGCATTTATTAAAACAACGGCGGTGTGGCTCATTGTGTCAAGTGTTAGGAATACACTCGCCACCTAAGGTTCCAATCCCATTCAGGGATGGTTATGTGTGAGAGGATTTCTGGACTCCTCACCGCCGTAGGGTGGTTCACGTAACCGCTGGTCAGTTACGGCTTCCTCCACCATCAAGTTCATGGTTCCGAAAACAAATAACTAACTAATCCCATACTCGACACAACATGGTAACCGGACGAGAGACCATGCTTCGCCATATGGTTAAGCCGTCTTATCGACTTTTCTCTCACCCAGGATAAATATGTAAATCCTATCTTGCATTACTATGGTTTGGGATGCGATTCCAATTTTAATGTCTTGCAACCAAGATCCATTCCCAGCTTAGCTACCGGTAGTTTTTCTGTAATGAAAGCGATTTACAATCATTCATTATATCATTATAAATATAAGTAAATTCTAATATAATGGAATGGATTAACCTAAATTGTAAACATTATAATTTACAAAAAAAAAATTTCAGGCTGTGATGAAGCCGACAACATTGAGCTGATCCAAAAGGCAATCAATCGACAACGAATATCACCAGGGAAAAAACCAATGGGTATTCATGCTTTGTATTGCGATCAACTGTGATTAAAATAATGAAAATACCATAGATTCAGACATTATTTCCACCACCTTATTTAAAGTGTAATAGAACTGGGTCTGCAAGATTTCGGTCCTTACAAAAATAGTTTTTATCTATGTATGGTTGCTTGTCCTGAGCCTTGTTCAGAGTGAATATGTGAAACGCATCTTGTCAAATATGCCCAGATTGTTTTTTAAAGTAATTCTCAAACTTCTCGTTTTTATATTCGAAGGTGAAAACTCTGTCGAAACATTGGATAACGAAGTAGAGAAGGAGCTGAATTTACCAATTACAAGTCAGAAAGGTGAATAAAGGTTTATTTCTACTGAAATATATTTTATCATATTTGTACAAAATCGGCATGGTATTTAGATTTATAATATAACTCTTACTCTGCACAAGAAATAACTTTTTGCTTTTTATTCGAATTCGACAATACAGAAGAGAATTCAACAACATTGGAAAGAGAAATTCCAAATGAGTTGTTCGAAAAAGAGGAAATCGAAGAAAAGATTGATAAAGGTAATTCTATTAGAAATGCTGGTACTCTCGAAGTATGTCAACCAAGATGGTGGACACCGGAACGTAGTATGCATACCAGGTTAGGGTTGGGTCATAATTTTCAGGTATAAGTACTACGGGAGTCACTTGGCTAAACTCTGAACTCGTAATAGAACTAAAATAAGGAAAATTGGAATAAAATTATGGCCTTAACATTAACCTGGTACACATACTACATTCCGGTGTGCGCCAGTTAACAACGATTTTTATAAATTAACGGTATAAATAGATTTTCAGTTAAAACAATCAACTTCTCATAATGTTTGAGGTTGCGAGTCTTTTTAGAAGATGATAAATCTTTTTTCGAACTTTTCTTTTGTCATCAGGAGAATTTGGCAACACATTCGAAACACTGAACGGTGAAATTCCACAATGTAGTTCTGGAAAACAATGGGGAGATGGAAAAGATCTAGATGAAGAAGGAAGGAAAAGTGTTCAAGTATTAGTTATACATGGTAATTACATTTCCAGTTTCTGTGTTTTTGGATTATTTACGTCAATTTTGAAAAACTTACAAAATATTATTGAATTTTCAGGTGATTCGGAGAGTTGTGAAAGCGTTAGTTCAAGTGAATTGTTGAGCGAAGAGGAAATTCGGTATTATGCCAATAGAGGTAACTTTATTTGAAGTTCTTATGTAGTGAATTTAATAATGGGTAAGAATCTTTGAATAATAATAAATATTGTATATATCTCTCGCGATTATAGTTAGATAATTTTCCGAAACCATACCATACTCACCGAAATATATATTAGAATTTTAGATGTCGGTGTTCTCGTTCACCTGCTTTGGTTACGAGCAGCTTCCCTTCCGCAGTAAAATTATGTGATTATCTGAACCTACTCTATTTGAAGCATTGTTTAAGAACTGATATGAGCAAACTATGACCTGCGGGCCAAATCCGGCCCGTTGGGTAATTCAATCTGGCCAGACTGATGCTGTCACAGCCAAACTACCGTGAACCAAATTTTTTATCGTTTTCCACTTTTGCTTTTGTAACACTGTTAGTTAATAGTGTCCGTAAAAAGAAACTCATTATGTCACACTTACATTACCTGCCAGTCTAGGTGGACAACAATTTTGGCACCTGGTCCAAAAACTTTGCCCACCCTTGTTTTAAAAGATGATAAACTTTCTTAAAATCTCGTCATTATATGATTCATGGATAGCTTTTTAACATATATTAAAAGTATTACCATTAGCCTAGTCTGCATAAGGATTAACTTTTTGATTTTTGTTATCAGGAGAATTCGAATTCGACAATACAGAAGAAAATTCAACAACAACTTTGGAAAGAGAAATTCCAAATAAGTTGTTTGAAGAAGAGGAAATCGAAGAAAAGATTGATAAAGGTCAATTTATTAGAAACTCTCAAATAATGAATTGAGCAATTGACATCGATTTGTATAAAAATATATGTATAAATAAATTTTGCATAAAAACAATTTCTATAAATTTTGAAGTTGCAAACCGCTTTTTTTAGAAGATGATAAACCTTTTTCTAATCAGAAAGCAAACTCATCTAATGTCTCACAACCAGGTTCCATTCCCATTTTAGTTTTATCGGTTAGTTTTTTCGAATTAAAAGCAATTTATAATCTCGCTGTTGTTATTATATTACGAATTATTTTTTTTATCAGAAAGTGGCAATTCAGATGCAACATCAAGGAACAAGGTAGCAGTAGCAGAAATTCCACAATGTAGTTCTGGAAAACAATGGGGAGATGGAAAAGATCTAGATGAAGAGGAAGGAAGGAAGAGTGTCCAAGTATTAGTTGTACATGGTAATGATATTCCCAGTTTCTTTGTTTTTGGCTCATTTTCGTCAATATTAAAAAAAAATACAAAATATCGTATAATTTTCAGGTGATTCAGATCGCTGTGAAAGTGTTAGTTCGAGTGAATTGTTGAGCGAAGAGGAAATTCGGTATTATGCCAATAGAGGTAACTTCATTTAAAATTTTTGCATAGTGAATTGAATATTTGACAAAAAATCTGAGATCAATAATAAATATATACATCTCTCTCTATAGTAGTTAGATAATTCACCGAAACCATACCATACTCACTGACAATAACAGTGCAGTTTGAATTAAATACTATTGGTGTCGGCTTTCTTGTTTACCCACTTTTGGTTCCCTGCAGCTTCCCTTCTCCAGTAAAATCGTGTAATTATCCCTTTTTCTCGTATTTTGTGTAAGATTGGTATCTATTCTACCAGTTGGAAAAAATAGACTTGACTTGACTTGGTTTCGTATAGATGTAATTTAAATGGTAATAGTTCCCTATTTGAAGCTTCGTTTTAGAAGATGACAAACGTTCTAAAACGTTCTATGGATAGTTTTTAACATGGATTCAATCTGCATAAGAAATAACCTTTTGATTTTTGTTATCAGGAGAATTTGAATTGGATAATGCAGAAGAGAATTCAACAACATTGGACAGAGAAATTCCAAATAAGTTGTTTGAAGAAGAGGAAATCGAAGAAAAGATTGATAAAGGTTACTTTATTGGAAATTCTAAGGTGCTCCCAAAGTATGTAAACCAAGATGGCGACACCAGTATGTAGTATATGTACCAGGTTAGGGTTAGGCCATAATTTCAGGTAATGCTACAGGAGTTACTTGGCTAGTTCACGAACTTGTAATAGAACTGAAATTAGGAAAATTTGAATAAAATTATGGCCCAACCCTGACATGGTACATAAATATAGGCTACTACATTCCGGTGTCCGCCATCTAGGTTCACATATTTCGGGAGTACCTAAAATAAATTACTTCTCATAACGATTGAAGTTGCGAACTATTTTTGTTAGAAGATGATAAACTTTCTTGAAATCAGAAAGCAAACTCATCTGCAAAAAAGCAAAAAACTGAATTTTATTCTATCACCAAACAGTTGCAAGCTTTTCTTGTAAGGTTTATTATCTTGCAATAATGTGGTTTTAGATTCTATTTCAAATATATTGTCTCACCAGGGTCCATTCCCAGCTTAGCTTCATCTGTTAGTTTTTCCGTAATGAAATTTATAATCACGCTGTTGTCATCATATTACTAACTATATTTCTTATCAGAAAGTGGCGATTCAGATGCAAGGCAGGACAAGGCAGCGGAACAAACTGATCCGCCAGCCAAGAAACGAAAAGGTAAAATAGAAGCCTTTCTTTTATTACTGTACTTGTCATTGTACTTTCAATAAAAGAAAAACCAAACATAGGAATTACAAAATATAAATTTAATTGAATTGATTTTTTTATTCTTGAATCTATATTTCGAAGCTAAATGATGTTGAACTTATTTTTAGGAAAGTTGAAAGGTGTGCTCAAGGCATTGAGAAGAATAGTACCAAACCAGAATAACGAGAAACATCAGATTCCTGGTAAAAATGACAAGATGGCAAAGAAAGGCAAAATGGATGGTAATTCTAACTAAATTTAATCATATCAGAGTTTGTGTAAAAACTGAGTTTAAAATTCAGATTTGATATCATGATTATATATTTGTTTTCGTTGTCGTCCAGGTTGTTACTTAAAGTAACGTGAAAAGTGAACATGTAAAATGCCTTTGTTTTTTCAAGGTACTGTAATTCTCAAACTTTGTTTTTATATTCAAAGGTGATAATTCTGTCGAAACGTCGGATAATAAAGTAGAGAAAGAACTGGATTTACCAGTTAAAAGTCGGAAAGGTGAATAATTGTTTATTCTTGTATTTTTTCATATTTGTGCAATAGTTCAAAATCAACCTATCACAATATGGTATTTGATTTGAAATCTTACTCTTATTCTGCACAAGAAAGAACTATTATTTTGTTACCAGGTGAATTCGGCAACACACTCGAATCATTGAACGGAGAAATTCCACAATGCAGTTCTGGAAAACAATGGGGAGATGGAAAAGATCTAGATGAAGAAGGAAGGAAAAGTGTCCAAGTATTAGTTATACATGGTAATGATATTTCCAATTTCTGTATTTCAGGATTTTTTCCGTTACTATTAAAAAACTTACAAAATGTTATTGAATTTTCAGGTGATTCAGAGCATTGTGAAAGCGTTAGTTCGAGTGAATTGTTGAGCGAAGAGGAAATTCGGTATTATGCCAATAGAGGTGAGCTTTTTAACATGGATTCAAAATATTACTATTAATCTGCATAAGAAATAACTTTTAACTGTTAAATAACTCAGGAGAATTTGAATTCGAAAATGCGAAAGAGAATTTAACAACATTGGACAAAGACATTCCGAATAAGTTGTTTGAAGAAGAGGAAATAGAAGAAAAGATTGACAAAGGTGAATAGTTAGTTCCTTTTCTGCTACCCTCTAATTTGAAGCTAAATGATGTTGAAGTAACAATTTACCAACACAATTTTATTTGCAGGCAAGTTCAAAGGTGTACTCAAGGCATTGAGAAGAATAATACCACACAAACGTAACGAGAAAAATCCGATTCCCGGTAAAAATGACAAGATGGCAAAGAAGGACAGAATGAATGGTAATTCTAACTAATCTTAATCATATCGGTGTTTATGTAGAAACTGAGTTAAAAATTCATGATAAAATTTTGATTTATTATTTTTACATTTATTTTACTTTTTATTCTTTTTGCATTTCTTTATTTATAGTTATACAGTTGATTTCGCTGTCATCCAGGATGTTATTTAAAATGTAAAATAGGGTCATATTATGCCTACACTTGTTCAAAGTCTCCTCACCTTATAAATGTTTGAAAATTGCACTTTTTGTTATATTTTTGCTTCATGAATCTTTGTTTTCCAGATAATGACTCATCTTCTGGTGAGGAAATCATATTTCTGACTGAGCCATCTTCGAAAAAAGTTTCTCGTGTAAAAAAATTCTTCCGTGCCTTGAGGAGAAGATTTTAATGATTTTACATTTCAGTGAAATTTTATGAAAAATCTTCTTTTATTTATTTTATGATATTGTTTTGGTTTCTTTCGCATTTTTGTGATGTTCCAATACAATATATTTTTATTTGTGTTTTTTTTTCAAAAGCTGCACATCGGGTATGAAGGTGGACTACTAAATAGGGGGTGGGAAACAAGTGGTCCTTATGAATGAATGAAAACTGGTATTATGTCCCGCTTTGATATACTATGTCCATGACATATATATTATTAGAGCTTCGAAACTAATTTTTAGATTTAAGTTATCGCCGAATCAAGTTTCATGATGAGCAAAAAAATAGATCATTGACACAAATTCTTAACTTGCGGGTCACTCACTTGCACTTTTTGTTAAGCTACGGAAGACTGCCAATTCCTGTTAAAGCTTACAAGGCATACGGTTTAGGGCAGGATGTGGAACATTTTTGTTGCTGAAACTCAAACCGTTACAGAAATGAAGGCACTGGGTAAAACGGCTAAAGATTTAACAGTAGGCCTATGTACTTATATCTACGTGAGCATCTTTTTTAAACATAAACTTCCGGGTTAAGATTTTATGCTTGGTAAAGGAATATCAGAATGTCACACGATCGAATCAATCCCGAGTTACCACTGCAGTGTTATTACCAAAATCCATTTGAGATAAAAGCAGGTGACACCTCTGAAATTTCAATCTTCCAATGGTGATAACGTGGTGAAAATTTTCTACAAAAACTTCAATTTTGATAAGGGTTCTTAGCAGTTTAGTACTTACATGTGCCCAAGTTTTTATCTTAAAAATCGCCTTTCTTAATGGTTCGGCTAAACTTTATATTCCAGAGGCGGAGCGGGAATTTTTCAAATCTAGAGCAAAGCACCACATCCACAGTCATGCTCCTACATGTACTCTGTAATCTATCCTTCTTCAGTAACCATAGTAATCCCAGTCCTCCCATACAAACCAAAAAAAGTGCATTTACATTTGTTTTTTATTCTGTTACTATCAAGCAATACCGACATCTTAGATTCCAGTCAGAAACAAAACCATATTATCACTCAAACACCGGATGAAATTAACACAAATTCGCAGGATCTTCCTTGTATCACACCATTGTTAGAGAATATCTTTTAGTTCCAACAATGTCTCAAAAATAATTAAATATCCGGCAACCAAATTTATAAACAATACGAACAGATTACCTCAACATGATTGCCTATACTGATGAATAAACGCAACAATTTTGAAGTACTTTAAAAGCAAAATTACAGCAGCAATACAAGTTAGGACCACAATTTTAGACTCACTATTTAAATCAGCAAATTTTACAATGCTGTATTTGTGTATTTACATAATTCAATACTCTTTTACAACTTTCCTTTTCTTTGTACGTATCAGATGAGATTGTGGAAATAAAGTTAAACTCTGAAACCCACCAGCCTAATATGTATGCAAGTATCATGTGAACAGAGTGGGACTGTTATTCATGAATGTATCAGTCATCATATTCATCTGGTTCATCATCGCCGTCAACTTCTTCATTCATTAAAGCTAATTTTTCAAGTTCCTTTTGAAGCTCAGCGTCATCCATATCAGTTACTACTTTAGGCTGTAAATATAGATTATCAGGTATTATATTATGACAAATATTTCAACGAGACTATTTTATCAGACTGTAAAAACCTAAAATTTTTTTTTTTTATCACTTCTTCAACAGGCCATTGTCGCCCTATTCGGAGATCTGATAGGGCCACACCATGAAAAAAATTATTGAGATAGAGCCAAGCTTTGTAATTTTCTAAATGGCCAAATTTATAGAGCAAAATGGGCATTGCTGAGACATATCCTGAGGCCATAATTGGTAATGGTAACCCTTAAAAAACAGTACTAAGGTACTGAAATCCCAACACGAAAAACAACACATTAGAGAAAGCAAAATTAACACAACTCACCTCCATTTTAACTTTGAAATTGCCACCCGATTCTTTTATAGTTTTCTCAATCTCATTCAAGCAATCTTGCAATGCATTCAGACCTACTTGTCGATCCAAAGATTGGGTTGTCAGCACATAGACAGGTGGAGCAATCAAATTGATCTGGAATATAAAATTCTTTCTTTGAAAAATGTTTCTGCAATCTAACTATTATATGCATAAATGCAGAACCTTATTTCAAAACTAATATTTAACTATGTTAGATAGTGCAAGTCATCAATATCGAAACAAGAATATCGGTCAGAGACCGAAGACTTATCGATCGAAAGTTAGGGGATCCCCCAAAACAGCGCTCTTACTCCATAGTGACACCTTGTGTCCCATCACTAATTAATTAATAACTCGCTAATTATACGACATAATTCATCCAAAATCAATAGGCTTATGGTACGACATATAATGAATGCACATGCAAAATCTTGAGCAGATTCAATCTCGATTTCGTGAGATATTGCGTGCATCTAACAGACAAATACCTATCAACATACTTACCGATTAAAATCGAAAGAGTTAAGAGGGACAATCGAAAACATTTAGAAGCAAACATGGGAAGAACAGAGCCCTTTATAATATCTTTACGTAAGCCAAGTGAAAAACTATGTTACTCAAGTTCGGCGGAATCATTACGCAGGCCGTATTTGGCCCACAGTTAGGAAACCACTGTATTAGACCATTTCTCAATTTTCTTAAGAACAGTGGTTCCTTGTTAGGACTTAAGCGCCGTGCTCAGAGTAGATATGAATGATATATCACACAAAAATACATACTTTGATTTTATGTTCTTCAGTAGAACAATCAATTCCTTTCAAAAGAGCATTTTTCACTGCATCTACTCCTTCATATGTATAGCAAGATACTTCAACATCTGTTAGAAAAAAAAAATCAAAGATTGTTCAGTGACCAATACGGAAAGGGAATTGAGATAAAACTTGGAATATGTAACTGCCAGGAAGGTCATCAATAACCAGATATCAAAATATACCTGATCGAATTTTCATTGCCTGCGGAGTCAACCTTCTCCTAATATTTTTCATCAAAACTGATTTCTCTTCTTCTGATAATTGGAGTTCATCAAGAACTTGTGGTTCACTATAAAATTGATAGTATTTTATATTTTTTTGGAAAGTCTTCAACAAAAGCAGATTGAGAGGTGTAAAAGGAACAGATGACATATTACAACAGTTTATATGTAGATTTATTTTTGCAAAATAGATGACAATATACTTGAGACTTAAATGCCAAGGAATATCGATATCTAAAGAATTTTGTTAAAACTAATGAGATGGCTGCTTTTTTTTATCAAATCTATTGCAAATTTGCAAAATCATTACTTAAGTTTATTTTTTCAAAAAAAAAATTGTTTTGTTTCATCTTTTTGCGACAAAAAGTAGAATATCAAACCATTCTAATATGGACAATCGTGGTGGCCTTAAAAAGGGAGTATTGGAAATTTCATGAGCAAGGTATAAGCTCTATAAGATTCAGATTGATAATCCGAATTTTTCGTGGCACAAATGCAAAAATTCACAGAGATCAATTACACATAGAGAGGTACATAGGTACAATTATGCAAAAAGATTGGCATTTACTCTATAGCTCTCTTAAATAGATCATATGAAGCGGGATATTTTTCAGTTGGTCTCTTATATTTTGTATCCAACGCCCAGGCTGTTCGGTCAAATAAATCTTCAAAATCTTCATCAGTCTGAAAACCTAGAAGTTCAGCAGTATGACGAAGAATGCTGTAAACCTGTATGAAAAATTCATATTTTTATGCTTTGATTACATGTTCCAAAATTTCTTAAAAAAGTATAAGTTGAGCACTAGCTCTGGTCAAAATGTTGTTTCACATATAGTTACGACTTACGAGCATATGAAATAAAGTCGATGCCGTATTTCCCAAAAGACATCGATAAAATTCAGAAATCCATATATATAATGATGATTCAAAATATATAATGAAGACCGCAATATGAATACTTTCTTATACCTAGCATGACCAAACATAAATTCTAAACTAGATGAAAATACTAGACATCTAGTATATCAACAAATATCGCTGTATACCTCTTAATTAACATGCCGTAAGAGTAGTAAGTAAATCCTAGTGAGCGTTAAATTATTGAATAACAATATTCCTGCTACAGAATTAACACTGAAACACTACTTACACATTTTGCTTTTGAATACTTATTTTCACATTTTTTTGCTTCTTCTTGTGAAACTCTTCTTTTTGATAAATCAATGTAACCTGAAAAAGTAGCAAATTATTATAAAATAATCACAATATATCAAAAGATAAAAAGGCAACAATAACATTGCAATAATGCTAATCCAGCAATTTTTGTTAAATACTATGACAAATCGTGATCTTCAAAAATATAACTTTTCTATCTATAAGACACAAAAGTTGATAATCAAAATGTCAGTACTATAAGACAATAAACAACAAAAAGAACACATTTTCGCCTATTTTGTTTTGAATCGGATATTGAAATTTGCAAATACATAGAAAAAACAAATTTCATTGATGGCAGTAATCTTATTTATTAACAATCGCACGAAACCCCCTACCTTTTTCTTTATCTACTCTTATAACAACGACACATTCATCACGACCGACACGAATCAACTTATTGATAGATCGAATACGACGTCTTGACAATTCACTAAGCAATATCATTCCTTCAATGTTATTGTATTCAAGCAATTTAACGTAAGCTCCCATCTCTGCGATGGATCGTACATTCACCATGACAACATCTTCAACCTCCGGAAACTTATCCTTATAATATCGACACGAGATCGGCATTTTGAGTTAATTTGCTAACAACTATATAAAAATATACAATTCAAATAAAAATAATTAAAAACATAAAACTTGAATAAAATTTTCTTATATAGATTGACCAATAGTTGAGCATATGATACACTTTTTCATATTTATCCCAGGGACTTATTAATCATATGTTAAACTGTGGCCTTTCGTCTGTTCAAGAGCTAGAGCTAATTCAGTGGTTATGTGACGCAAGTCACGCAACCAAATATGTCTACAGTAATTCTTTTGCATATAGACATACAAATGGAATCTATGAACCGAACATTATAACCAGTCTTCACATTTGAAACAATTCTTAATTAAAGAGACGAGACACTTCTTTTCGAATAATCAATACATAAACAGTTTGTACAATCAAAAAGTATACATCGATAAAATTTTCTGAATGAAACTTTTTTAACCAGATTCATTTCAATAAATATTTAAAAAACAAAAATTATAATATCACAGAATAAAAAGCTTACAAACTATTCTTTTTTAAATGATTTCTTTTCCTTAAATATCCGAGGACTATCTGGGTCAATTACTGCTTCATCCCAAGGTCCATAAATATTATTTTTATGAATTTGAAGAGACATTAACAATAGCGGACATATAATATTAACAAAAACAATTAGAAGTAGAAATAAGAGACTTATATACAAATGAATAAAAAGTAGTAACAAAAACGTCGCTATACTCAATAAAACAGTAAAGGGATCCATAAACCACGGAGTTTCACGCCTTAATGTTCTTTGTAACATGGGCCAAAATCCAAAAAGAAATAACGCTAAAATAACAATAGCGAATACATGCTCAGAAGAATCCAATCGAGACGCAAGACATACTGATGAAAACAATGACATGTTTAACGATACAGCTCTAGAAATCGGCGCAGCATCAGATCCATAATCATGAAACAGTAAATGTCCTAAAATCATTAGAACACTCATTGCATATATCGTATCAGTACTAATAGTGTGCGTCAACGTTTTTAATATCGGAGATAAAAAATCAGTTAAACACAATACAACAACTGCTGTTTTAGCATTACTAAATAACGCTTTCCATCTTTCACCCTGGCTCGTTGTTAAATATAAATACACGCAAAAGCCTATTACTGAAACAGGCATCAGCCATTTTAACATAGTATATGGAGTATATAGGCCTTCATCGAGCAACCACCAGCTAACGATTAAACAGCTGACTGTACAAAGTTGTTGAGTAATGACTTCAATTCGACGAACGAGATCCCAATATTCATATTTTCTGATGTAGATGTTCTTTCGCATTTCTGTGAGGAAAGATTCATCCACATAATTGTCTGGAACATTTTGAACTTCGTACAATACTTTTCTCCATTTTTTGCGATTAGTTGTCATTCTTGAACACGCTTATATCAACAGCCAAAATCAATATTACCGGTACTTTATAAATAGGTTAAAACTGAAATTTATAATAACAATGGCTCAATACTGTAATAATAAACATATACAAGACAATCCATGAACAAATTTATCTGAGGAACCTGTTCTTTTATCTGTTTATAGCACAGTGGCGGGCCATTATAAACAAAATATCGTATCGTACGGTCTGACGGTACCGGTATGGGATTAGTTAGCCGGTACGGTAGGTACCGGTACCGGTATTTGTTCTACAGTTTCAGATACCGGTACCGGTAGATCTACCTACCGTACATGGTGGACGATAAGATAAGTTTATTTCAACTCCATACTCAGCATAAACGGCGATAAAACGGTTGATTAAAACAAATAGAACTCGTTTAGTCATACAGCGGCACAGACTAACCACAAAGTTGAGCGAATTTGCTCTATGATGGTTCACCATGATGGGCGATGGCGCAAACACCAACACGAAACACCAAAAACTCTACACTCCACACATGTTAGGGGTGAAGGATGCTCGAGATCCGGATCCGGCGATCGCTTCTTATTTACACCGTGTGCGACACCCAAATCTTTTGACGAAAATATCCGTCAACTTTTTGGGTCTGGTGGTTACCGCAACAAACACAATTGTCATCGCATTACAAGCCCAATTGTCATAATTATGCGCAAAGGGATTTCCAGACTCCTCACCGCTCCTCACCCTCGCAAGTGGTTAAGGCTTCTCCACTTTATATACACCTCAATGTTCGCCACCATCCAAATACGCTAAAATCAAATACCTGATGAACTCTTCCTATTCCAGATTTGGGTTATGTTAACGCTGACTCGCCAAATTTCTTCTTCCTCTGGGTTTCATCCCCTTTTTTCTGTTTGGCACCTCATCACTGGATAGGATAGGATGTCATATTTATTCCGGCCTCTCGTCCGGTTACCCGGTAGGTTCGAGCAATGACATTAAACAACATGATGCGCAACTCCGGCATTTTTGGCCGAAGATCGTATCCGATAGCACGCTCCAATGCACATACTTGACGAGACGAAAACGAGCGGATGTGTGTTGCTTTCAAGGCATAGCACGAATGGTGTTCGTGCCTGCTTTGACAGTTGTGGTTTTTAATGATATTTGGAAAATTGAAGGTAAAAAGAAATCGGAAGAAAGTAAGGTAAATACTATTGTTGCATATCACACCCGGGCATCGCACTGTTAAGTACATGTGGGAAAGCCAGCTTTTGTCAAATACTACGAAGTTATTAATTCAGTACGGTACGTAGTTGCCCATTTGCCGAAATTGCATATTTATTTACCCCTTATGGTTTCAAATAGTTCATGCACCTCCATTTAGATTTTTTTAATCAGTGAGGATATATACTCATTGCTGTTCATTGTAACATACTATTGCGCATTTACTTTTATTTGCGTATTGAATCAAAGTGTTAACAAGTTCACCTAATATTTCACTCATGCCGGTCTATATTGTATAGTCTGATCTCTCAAGTATTTGGAGCCACGAATGCTTGTAATTTTCTGACCAAACCCTTTTATTAGTTGGTTTATATACCAAATTCAGTAAAACATTTTTTTACATAAAACATGGGATATTGGATTTATTAGCTTTTCCATTCTAAATCATATAGACTGCTTTATTTATTCTTAACGAAAATTAATAAATCTCCTCTCTTTCTTCAGATGTGAAAGTTGTGGACAAACCTGTCTAAGCATTGTGAGACTCCTGCAGCACAAGAGGCAATAGCAAATATAGTAAGTATATCAATCAAGAAATTAAGACGACATAAAGCAAAACTTTCAACTATTCGTTTAATCTCAATTTCCTATTATTTATTCACAGGACAACTATAGCAGAAGGGGAGATATCAAAAGTCTGGCGACATATCAGTGACAGTGTGATTCCAAGAAATATAATTAGAATACTCCATAAATGTTTGCAATAGAAGAACAACCTATGGAGGCATTCAAAGAAATTTGACCCTTCGGTAAAGTTGTGTATATAGCCCCTACATCCTGCATATAGCCCCTACATCCTGCATATATTAATTAATTATATAACGACTCAATAGCAATAATAATTCAAGCAATCCTATGCCATGCAATGTGGCGCGAAATGTCTTGTCGAAAAAATCTGTCATTTGTTTTTTTACTGATCTATACATGAAATGATAAAAGTAACTTTTTTGCATTACTGGAATTAATTAAACATTCGCAAAGATCCAGATTAACCATGATCATGTGACCTCGTTAGTTAGAGTTAGTACTATAAAATCATTTCAGTCTGGCCTTAGTATGCTGGTGACACAAAAAAGATACCAAACGTCAGGACCACTGTAATTAAAAACATTGAGTTTATACTGTAGTATTTTTGTTAATTTTAAGTTCATATATTCAGATTAAGTAATTTTAGTGTATGTATTATTTATTCCTTAACCAAAGCTTGTTCAAAAATGATTTTGATGGTTGTACATGGAATTTTATGATTTTTTGTAATAAATACAATAACTTGCAATAATAGTGGAATGCAAATATTAATATGTAATTGCATTTGAAATTAAAGAAAATAATAAAACCTAATCCAATTGTTTAGTTGCATCACAATATATGTCACAAACTAAAACTATCTGAAAAATACACCACTGACAGTTTGACACCACTGATCTATTCTAATCTAGACGATTCAAGCATTGCTTTGGGAAATAATATCACTTCAATTAAATTGAAAAAAATCTCGCTGTATTAAATACAAAATCGTTGCTATCATAAAGGTAAACCAATTCAGCCACTCGGAATATATTGGCCTTCACAAAGCAATGGAGGCAAAATTGAGAGTTCATGAGCTATGAAATTTTGTTCTCTACTTTGTCTTGAACTTTTCATACTCCTCAGCCTCTATTAATTTTTTTTTTAATTTTAATTACCATGTGATGGTCATACATATCTTTAACTTGTATTTTCTGTCATAATGTATTATCTCAATGTGTCAAACTTTTAATTAGTGTGCATATTTTGCTTCCAGCTAAAATAAATGTATTGTCTTGCTTATTACCTCAGCTCGGAGTATTGACAAGAAAAAGGTGCCCATAAATTACGTAAAATTTTTTTAACTCTTCGTTATAATCAGAAATCACAATTAATAGGAATTATAAACACCCAACAATCAATGAGAATTATTTGCCAAATCCCTCAGAATAAATTTGTTTTCTAAAATCGGAGGAAGGCAAAACATATAGGTAGTTTCCATTCACACAAGTCTTTCAAGAAGACTTGCTCGAAACAAACTAAATGAGTATCGTCAGGTGATCAGTAAGGCTGCAAGTTGAATCAGCCCTGCAACCTCCTGCATAGAAAGTAATATTAATTAATGGGCTATGAGTTAAATTCCTAAATTTAGACACAAACCTATCTACGAGGCATTATGTACCAGCAATGTTACCTACGATTAACTGAATATGTAATATGTCTAATAAATTCACCTACTAAAGCAAGTTCGATAAGTGCAAACTTTGTGTTATGGAATTGTATCACAGCACCGTTAAGAGAAGTAAAAACAGTTTTGCTGTTTTATACGACACCCTCTTTAAATGAAATTTCAATGTTTAAGCGCAAACATTAAAATTACTAACTTTGAACTTTGTCATTATCTGCAAAATGTTCCACACAAATCTTTACGCTATCGCATTTGTAATCTTCTCTGATAAAAAAACGTCTATGATGTCTAGAATTACTCTTTACAGCTTGTCTGCCATTCCAGCTTCCCAAGTGAGCAAAACTTCTTAGATATAGAGATTATTTTCTTTCGTTACAGGCGCAAAAAGGACAGGTACTACAAGTAAAGAAGACGCCGCGTAGCAAAAGCGATTGGAAAACGATCGCGAAATGCGACGAGAAATATGTGCATTGGAGCGTATCATGAAATACAATCTTTCGCATGTAGTCTTATGGAGTGACGTCAGAGTTGCCTATCATGTTGTTTAATGTCATGTCATTGGGCTACCAGTCCATGTCGGGTATGGAACTTGTTAGCTAGTTTGATTTCGGAAGCATGGACTTGAACGCCCTTTTGCAAATTTGTGTCCCATCATATTACGTACGGCAAAAAAAAATGATTATCGGTAATCAACAGCTTATTTTACCATTTACTGAATATTTGCGCCTACATAATATAGAATAAACTAAAAATGGCGTTTTGTGGTGAAGGGAAGCGCAATAAACCAGTTGTATCATTTAGCAGCAACACTTTTGAAGAAGTCTAATCTAAGTCTTGCGATTGTAAAAAAAACTAACATTACAAACTAAAAAAGTTGGAAAATAAAAATAGATTTTTATGCGACCTGATTTTCCACTCGTTGTACTATAAGAAAAAAACAACTCCGAGCACGACACGCTGGTGACCATACTGCGCGAGATGCTGAGTTCTTCTCTTGCTGTCTAAAATTGAATTGATAAAAACGTTTGAGCAAAGATGGATAGATGGACTTAAAATAGATTGTTAATCGACATATCACATGTAAAAACTGGATTTTGAATTCGACAGTGATAATGAAGTGTTATTCGTGATCAGCTATTTACGGCAGTACGGTTACATTTTGCAACCTGTAGATCTCAATCAAATATTTTCCGTGTAGTTCGCGCAACTGTTGGCTGCTTGCAGTTTTCTTCACTAACTACGTCTATGTAGCTAGATCTTGCAAGTACGGCTATGTCTGTTTACCTATATTCAAGGTTGGATTAAAGATTAGGCAAAATAAGGTCACCACGAGAAAGGATGCACCACAGAAGTTTTCACGAACTGGCTATCTCAGTGTTTAATGTAATTCGAGTTGGTAAGACGATTCAGACCTCAATATTGGCTCGGTTTAAATCAGGGGTCTCAAACTCGCGGCCTGTGGGCCAATTGCGGCCCGCAGGACGGTAGTTTGCTGCCCCCGCCTTGGTATAAAAGTTTAATGTTAGTGCTGTTCGTAAATCACTCATCTCAGTTAGAATGATTGATGCATTTAATATATGATCAGGACAAGTAGAGCAAAACAAAATATTTTATAATCTATCCCCCGAAAGGAATACGCGGTACGGTAACCTACTAGTACCGTACCTGTAGGCATGATATTCGATGGACCTTTGACCCCGAAGATAATTTTCTTATACTTTACCATTGCAAATTCTTGGTGCTTATTTTAGAGGTGGCTTCGCGAGTTGAAGCCTATAAACTGGGGTATATGTTTCACGTCATCATTTTGATTCAAAACATTCAACAACCTGTTTTTCAACAGTACCGGTAGAGAAGTTTAGCCTAGTCTATCACAGTTATTTCTAGACTAATTTTTGATTACGGCAATTAAGCTACGACGCCCAAGCATCAGAATGATCATTAAGTTTTTTGATTCATACTTGAATTTCTGAAACACAACCCAAAACTAACAAAAATAGCATGCAAAAACGAGGTAATGTTTACAAACATGCCCGAAAATCTTCCTGAGTGACAAGTATCTGAGCGTTTGCGAAAAAGTCTATTGTTACGTCACTCTTTGCGTCTTGCTGATTAGCCAATGTTACGGAATAAACAAGGAAGTAGATGCTCGAAGAAAAGTCCATCGCGGAATTACTTACATTTAGGTTTTTGACATGTTTTGCGTATTGAAAAACAGAGAAAAAGATTTAACTTTTTAGGTTTAATGCTTTTATTGTGAAAAACCTGATGCGGCCCGGACTCACTAAGGCTCCGTCTCGGCGGCCCTCAGGTAAATAGAGTTTGAGACCCCTGGTTTAAAGTGTTTATTTTCTCTTTCTCAAGTACCAGCGTACACCTCTCTATAAATGTTTGTAGGCACGAGAATTATTTCCAAAAAATACCATGTAGATTAATCATAACTTAGCTTAAATTAGTAGTGAATACTGAAACTTATTCAGAAGACATGGAACACTAGTTTTCATTTTATATAAATAGGGCACCAAAAAGCATCTCTCTTAATCATACATAGCAATTTTTAGATCCTCAAGCTTCATGAAAACACGCGTTTTCCGGATTTTGTCCGGACCCGCTGGCTGTTTCGATCTAACTTGGCAAATAGAAATTTTAGAATCACCCCCCCCCCCCCCCTTTTGAAAATTTCTGGCTACGCCTCTGCTCTTCCCCTTCTCTCTCATAAATTGTTTTAGGTAGTATTCCTTATTTTTTTGTGAACTGGGTTCCCGAGTTATACTTTCACCCAAGTCCGCTGAGTGAGTATTGTGACAACAGATGTACGTTTCAACGAGTTTATTCATTTATGCAACATTTTTCAAATATAAAATTAGACAGTTTTCAATCGTTTACGAGAGATACAAATGTTAACTCTCGACTTTGTGAACGTGTAATCATACTCTGGAAGTATTATTATAATCGAAACCTCTGCACCATAGGTAACAAGTTGTGTTGCGGGTTAATATTTTGAAAACTGTTAATTTACTTCTAGTAAACTGAACAGTGTAACGCGGCTGTTATCTGGACCCCGTTCGCTTTCTTCGCCCAGTTTCATTACGTAATACGCTGTTTGATTCACTTGGCAGGTGAACGGGCCTGGTGACTTTGCCTTTATTTGTGGAACTGTCAACAAAAAATACATCGTCGTCTGTCTCTTCCGGACTATCCGGAAGACTGGGGCGGTGTTTTGAGTTTGAAACTGCTGATCTCCGACCCTCTTGTTCTCTCTCATCTGCGAACGAAACTCTCATACTGCGGGGTCGTCCCACGGTCGGCGTGAGTTCTGTAGCAGTCCCGGGAACTGGCCTGGAAAGACGAGCACTGGATGGAAAAATAAACACTCTATGAGTTGAAAACTTATTAGCTGATAACTACTTTGAAATATCTATGAAACGTCTACGTCTGTCAAATACTTGAATATGTTTATATAATTTCAATCTGAAAGTAAAATTTCATTTTATGTCCATAAATCATCGTTGTCTTGTCTAGTCGTCTCATGTAAACTATCACTGTATCGAAGGAAAGTATAAGTTGGCGAAGACTGTTTTTAAATGCCAATGAAAACCAAATGGACCTCCCAACGACATAATGTCACGATAAAATCTTGAAACACAGCTGTGTACAAAATTTCTACGATAAGCTAAAAGGGTAATTTATATATTATGAAAATATTGGTTAACTTAGGGCAATCTACGAAAAGCAAATTTTGTAGTGATGCTGTCACGCCAGAATGCAGAGGTTTTACGTATTTTTTAATTAATTTGTAAACCGAAAAGAATCTAAAAGTAGTTTTGGTAATTTTGTCGTATAGTCTCAGATGGTATTATTTCTTTTTCCCGTTGACCCGCATGTTTATTTATTGTTTTTGGACATGCATTGTGAGAGATCAATTACGTTTCGGTTCAATGAATTCGTTTGTTAAATAACAATTCATTTTAACTGCTAAATTACCTTGGGAATTGGGATTAGATAAATACAAATACTACTGTGCAATGTCACTCTTATATATTTGTCCTTAACTTTGCAAAATTTGCACAACTGCATGGCCGATTCAAATGTTATAAATCAAAGAATAGGGTTTAAGGTATAAAATTCGGATAGAGGCTAGACTTCCATTTCTTAAAAATTACAAAATATAGATTAAATTACAACTGATATAGCAGGGATGTATTTAACTTACTTACCTGTACGGTAATGTATGATCCGGACTTTCGGATGCATTAGCCGCCACGTCTCTTTCGTATCTCCTTTGTTTCCTTCTATCTCTGATATAACACGCAGTAAAAACTATAGTTGCTGGTATAACTATAATCACAAACAACACTAAAAATACTCGAAGTTTTGCTTGAAGAGTCAGATGATATAAATTATGATGTAATATCACTATTTCACGGTCATCTATGTAATCCATTTCAAAGTTGTAATCGCTCAGAGATATTGGAGCTGAATTGTTGTCAATTTGTCGCAGGTTTTCATCTTCAATTTCGTCGTCCATAGGCGACGTAGGCACGTACATCTTATGCTAACTTAATCTGTTGAAAAATGTTGAAGTTAACTTTCTCCTTCATGATTTAAGAAGGATGGGTTGTCATCTATTTTGTTATCACCGCAAATTAGGACCAGACGGCTTATTTTGAAGAATATTCACGTTCCGAATTATAGGCTTTTCAATGAAAAACATAATCTCATATAGTTTATTATATATATTATTTATGACGAATTGAAAATAACGCAATCTTGCATAAAATTTCAAGAATACCTTACGATACGTGAAAAATATTTCAGAATCATCGACTAGTAATGCATAAAATTCAAATGTATCCAATTAACTAAAATAAATAAGTAAACGTATAAAAATTTGTATCTGTCCCAAAACATTTTCATGCGTAAGCAAGCTGATATAAAATATTTTGAAAATTCCATACAGCGCCCTCAATTTATGAACCCAAAACAAATTAAACTTCAGAGCCTCTCAGTAAGAAATGAAGCATTGTCTTGGCAAAAATAAATCACACTATGTAACCATGATTTATCGGCGGCCTTTACTTGACTAGTGTAATTCAACGTAGTATTTTCTATTTGGTTAGCCGAGCATTCAGATTATATGCAAAGTGGAAAAATTACAAATCCCAAGGGATAAAAATGCGAGCTCGGTTAAAAAGTAATAAATACAGTAAACTGGTATAGAATTGCACAGGTTTTAAAGACAAATGGCACCAGCAGGTTATTCTTATTTCCTAAATTTACATTCTAAACAGACTAGGACAGGTAATTTAACTTCGATCTCATATTCGACAGATATTGTTGTATATGCGCGAAGTATGGCTATACAAACTATATTTGGTATTTTTAAACAGTGTATTATAATGCGAGTTTAAATTTAGAACCACAATGCTTGAAGCAGAATCGAAAAATACACATCCGCACAAGATAAACTATTTTTGTTTTACATTGTTTTAAAATAGAAGCATGTTATCCATGTCATTTTATATTTTTTCAGCATTTTTTTTTTCTTGAATGAATGTCAATAAAACAAAAATAGGTACTCCCGAAGTATGTGAACCAAGACGGCGGACACTGGAACGTATTATGTGTACCAGGTTAGGGCTAGGCTATAATTTCAGGTACAAATACTACGGAAGTCACTTGGCTAGTCCCCGAACTCGTAATAGAACTGAAACCTAAACTAGAACCTAACCTGGTACACATACTACGTTCCGGTGTCCGTCATTTTGGCTCATATACTTCGGAAGTACCCAAAAATAATAAAGCTGTGTGACTAAAGTATATATAATATAAAACAAATTCTATCCTAAATTATACTTTTTTCTTCATCAAAGTTTGTTAAAGAAAATAAAAACACTTTCTTCATGCCAAGCAATACTGATGATAAGGCTATTTAAGAAAAATCTAATTTGGCGAGAGAGCACCGTGTAGGGAGCAACAGATACTTTCACAGAACGTTAACGTTTTAAAAAAGTATTAACAACTCTGTGAAGCTTATATTTGTTTCGGATAAAGTCATTCCGAATCGGCAAAGCATTACTACATAATTGCCCCCTTAGGTATGTGTTGAACATCTCTTTTTGTATCGAACCTACGTTTACAACTTAGATGCAATGTTCTAACCTACACTATCATGCATTCTACTGAGTCTATCATGCATTTGCACAATCTCTTGTTACTCAGTTATCCACTATAAAACATGTCTAGTGTATACGCACTCTTACTCCATATATACTTCTTTTTCGCTTGTTTGTATTACAGTGAATGAAAACATCAAACAAAATCAGCAATCTGCTCAAGCGCTCTCAAAGACACAAACAGATTTGAGCACTGGCCTCTCATCCTGACTCCGAAAACACCCATCCAAAAAGAAGAGGCGACAATTACATTATTTCGTTTACCCCTATCCCGTGATAAATATCACATTCAGTAGTTATCGACCGACCAATGCGTTAATTGAGAATATCAATGATCGGCCTTTAATGAAGAGTAATGGCCAAACGACGTCTTATACCCACGGGACCAACTACCGTTCATGTATTTCGCCCCTTTTGGCGTAACGATATTGACACATCTCAGATCGGTTCGATAAGAATGTGATAGTAATGGGCATAAAGACGAAAAATGCTTACAAATATTGATGAAAAAGACAAGTAATGAATATTTACAAAATCAATTAAAAACAGGTACCTATTGGGGTACACTCATATGTTTATAGCAAGCCTTTTAGTGGTGAATTAGTGCACACATATACGAGAGTAATCTTAAATCATTACAAAATGTCGGGGTTTATTGACGGAATAATTTGGGTCAGTGTAATTCAATGTCATGATGTACATCTGTATCAATATGACATAAGAGGTTTTTTGTGCCGATAGAATCGTTTCTTGTAGTAATCGGCTGCTCACAGCTAAACTTTTGGACAAGGGTTCCCCGGTCCTTCTGTATGTGTTTATTGGGGCTCCGATCAACCAAAACGTGGGAAAACCACTAGATTAGAGCCTGGCATTTAACTTTTTTTCCATCGCATGTGAGGCATCTGTGCTTCAGTGCCTCCCAAGATGTAAATGTGGAATTAAGGTAAAAGCAATGCCAAAATAAAGAGATTACCAAACTCCTTGCGCACGAGTAGCCGCTTCTCAAGACCATTTTTCGTAGAGAAAAATACAGAAGTTTCGTATGAATCCTAATCAGTGTACTCAGTTTTATTAAGAACATACATACATACAAGAAACTTCATGGTTTTTGAAACCACTGGTACCTTACAAATAGCCTATACTCAATTTCTAACACTATGGGTAAAGTGGTAAACTTTACCGCTGAACTGACCAGCGCTTCAGCACGATATCTCTAACATTTGATGACATCATATAGTTCATCATAGTTACCTACGACTGACCCACAGAATGTAATATCGGCTCTACATAATTTTGGACTACGCTCTTTCAGAATGCAAATACATATATCTATATACAAATAGCTGCTACGGCTTTGTAATATATTCGCAGTTGACGCGTTTTGAGTGAAGCCTCTGGCGCTAAACTTCTGAATTTACTTGACTGATTAAATAGTATACATGATATGAGCAATAATTATGATTGAACAAGAATCGATTTGAATTACGCAACCTATCCTTATGATTGGCTCTTTATTTATTCTCGGCAAAAGTGCTTCTTGAGTGCGAGAGATGTGCATTTATATATACTATTTAGGTACTGTGATTGTACAGTTGGTTATATAGGCAACATTTATATTAAAATGTATTAGAAATTTCACCAGAACGCGAAAAGTTCGATGTCTGTAATTTCACGTAGACTAAATGTTATTATCACTTAGCTCCTGAATTTATGCAGCCAATAAAAATCCATGAGAAGGAGAAATTTTGAAAACGAAATTGAACTTAGCAAGGTAGCGAACGACCGAACATAACCGATGGTAATTAGATTAATTCTGACGGGTATGACGTTCGGTCAAAACAAAAAGCCATGACCACAAAATATTGAGTTTATTTATAGGAGCACGCAATTTTTTTTTTGTGGAATATTACTTAATTTGAGACGCTGAACCCACCGAAGGTTATGTTTTATTGAAATTTCTTCAACAGTTATCTAATGATTTTTATTTTTTAATTAATTTGTCGTTTTTGAATAATTTATTTTTTTCAATTTGTATAATTGTCTAAACTGCACTAAATGACCCCAGTGTTTTTTTGAATGTCATATAATTTTGTTATTGATTTAATTAAAATCATAACATAGAGTTCTCAAATTTATGCAGCAGGAGACTATTTTTATATAATTTTGCTGATACACTAATACAAAAGCAAAAATTTCATCTAAAGTTAAATTTGTCAATCGCCTCTAACAATCGCTTAATAACTAACATAATACAAACAATCAGTAGCATTGTAACAAAATAATTCATAAATATAATAAACAAACATCCTAGCTTCGATATAGTAACTTATTAATTATAAGTTATTTGAGCATTATGTTATTTAAGGTAATTTGTTGTAACCTCATTTTTAGCAATTTTAGTATTTCTCACAAGAAATGGCATTTCCGGTAGAAGTAAGGGACCAAAATTCTTACCAAATTTTTGAATCGAAAAAATACCATCAAGTTCAATACAGTAGGCCTATTGTGGGCGTCGTCTGCTTTCGTTCCCATCTCGCGGTTTTTATGGGAAATTGATCTTGACGTAGAAAAAACATGCCAGCGTTCTATAGTTTTAATACAAGTCTCAAGTCACCTTTACCTAAATGGCGTCTAATATCGTTTTGAAATCCCAGAGGACCCTCCTTCAGGAATTGATCATTGCCAATAATGGCGCATAGATGGGCCAAGATGAAACGGTGCTACGTATTTATGATCCAAACTTAATTGTGCGGGATTGAATTGAGGTTTCATGATTGAGACTTTCGTGGTGCACAATAATGCGATTCAGGCGATATGGTCTATTTTGGAGCAGCTAAATCAAAAAACAACACAGAGGATAAAATACAGAGAAGACAACACAATGAAAAATGCTTCAATTAACTTAAATAAAATTGCAATCTAAATCAATGAATGCGAAAAATAAACATCAATATTATATACATATACCTAACAAAGCCGACAAGATTAATAGTTTCATAACTTGTGATTTGCACAGACTGAAAAGTTGAACATAGTCTCTTGTACACACACATCTAGAGAGCGTAATTAGTCACGAACCCGCTTATTTACGTTTGCATTAGGATGTTATAACCGTATTTAACAAGATCGGAAATATGCTAGCATAGTGTGTTTCTCTATGGCTATGCAATAATTTGATAAAATTTAGGCAGCGATACAAAACGAAAAAAATAATGCATTGTCATTCTCACAAGAACAGATTGGGATACTACTCGCTGCTTTCGGTACTGCATACCAGTCTAGCATGTTCAAGATCTAGTTCGCTTCAACGCTAAATTTACCTTTCTTCTCCCAGAATTGAGCTTGCAAAAATCTCCTTACTAAACTGCAATTTACATCATATAACCAAACTCATATTTGTAGTCTGATAACTTAAATG